AGCAGTACCTTAGAAAGGAAGCATTCAATGTACTAGATAATTGGTTTAGTGGTTCAATTATTACTTTGAAAAGCACAGACCCCTACTAAAGTTTCCCTGAAGCATATTATAAAATTTTTTGATTCATTAGACAGTGAAAAGATTGTAAATTACAGAAATCATGACTAATTACTATTTGTTGTCAAATTAACACTACTACTGTGGTTATATTAAGTATTTTAGCATTTCCAGAAGTCTCTCCATCTATGTCTAAAGTAGCCTCTTCTTCATTTTCTGTCCCTCTGCATTCCTGAGGAGATTTGGTTCACACATGTCTGCAGATGGATGTTTGAGGGAAAGAGAAGACAATATATCTCCTATCGACTAGCTGACAGTGTCTTGGGAAAGAGCTGTTTCTGTTAACTTACATTTAAAAAATTTTTTTAGATGTTATTTATGTATGTGGCTGTTTCGTCTAAATAAATGTGACACATGCATGCCCAGTACTCTTGGATGTCTGAAGAGAGCATCAGATCCTTTGGAGCTGGAGTCACGGATGGATGTGTACTACCATGAGGGTGCTGGGAACTGAACCCAGGTCTTTTGCAAAAGCAGTAAGCATTTTGAGGCTGAACCATCTCTCCATACCTATCAGGTCATAATTTTAAGAACTATTTAAGAACACTCATTACGTGAGTATTCTTATAAACCTCCAGAGTTGACCACAAATTTCAACTTCCTAACCAGGGGATATCTATGAATTTACTTAGGCTATGAAAGGTGTAAAGTAGGTCAAATGGTAGTGGTGCACGCCTTTTAATACCAGCACTTGGAAAGCAGATGCTAGCAGATCTCTGTGAGTTCAAGGCCAGATTGGTCTTATAAGTTAGGTCTATTCCAAGCAAATCTAAACATGTAGTATCATTTTCTTTCTGTTTTTTTAAAGATCATTTATCTATTTATTTACTTACTTATTATGTATACTGTGTTCTGTCTGCATGTTTGCCTGCACACCAGAAGAGGGCATCAGATTTCATTATAGATGGTTGTTAGCCACCATGTGGTTTCTGGGAATTGAATTCAAAACCTCTAGAAGAGCGGTCAATGCTTTTAACCTCTGAACCATCTCTCCATCCCCATCATTTTATTTTCTTAATAAGAAAAAGCTATTAACATCCAAAAATATGGACATTACTATATCTGTATAATATTTAGAGAGAATTAGTTTTATGAAAAGTTACCATTAAAATAAATTTAAAGAAAGTCTCCAAAGGATTTTCCTCCTTTATGTTTCCAAAAATATATTTTTTTTTAAAAAAAGGGTGTTTAAGAAAAACAAAGTACCTTTCAAGAGGCAGTACCTGAAGAGACTCTAGCCGACCCAGCTTTCTTTTACAAGGCACATGAGATTCTACAGTGGCTTCAATCCCACGGCACCTGTACATCCTGCTCTCACTTAGCTGGTGAGTGCCTACAAATCCACACAGTTCAGCTGTGCAAAACTGAGTGAATGCACTACCTGGCAATCTGAAAGCCACATGTGGTGCTCGGAAACATAAACATGTGACTGGCTAGTTCTATCGGCTAACATACTCAGGGAATGCCAGTGTATACACAAGACTCGCACTGTGGGAGACACAGACTTACATATGTGGGAACAGCACACACAAGAGTAAAAATAGGACCAATTCAAATGGAATGGACTGATAACTCCAGGTAACAAACATGCCGTGGTCGCATACTACTTAAGTAAGGAGGGAAAGCAGGAAACTGAGCATTAAGTTTATAATTCGACTAATCTACAGGAAAATGGTACTATATAGTACAATGTCACAGATAACCTGAACATTATTCAAAGACTTGTTACCTTCATAAAAATTACATATTTTGGGGCTAGAGAGATGGCTCAGAGGTTAAGAGCTGGCCGTTCTTCCAGAGGTCCTGAGTTCAATTCCCAGCAACCACATAGTGGCTCACAGTCAGCTAGAATGAGATCTGGTGCCCTCATCTGTCATGTAGGCATGCATGCAGATAAAACACTGCAACAAAATAAATATCTTTTAAAAATTATCTATTTTGCTTTCATTTGATTTATTTTGTATGTAGGAGGGGTGGTAGAAGTAGGGAGTCAACTAGATGTCAAGAAGTCAATACTCTCCTTTTACATGTGGATCCTAGAATCAAATTCAGATCATCAGGCTTGGTAACAAGTGCCTAACCCAGTGAGCCATTGTTTCAGCCTAATACTATTGTTAATATAAATAAGCGTAAAATGGCAAAGAAATTAGTGTAATTTTACCATCTGCTAAAATGAAAAACTTCCATTGCCTATCACCAATATCCTACAGTCTCCTAGTATTCTGTAACCCAAAGTCCTCTTCACTACTTCATACCTTCCCTTCTGTTGTCTTGGTCAATGTGTTTTAAACATACATATAAAAATGTTAGCCATATGAGGATATTGCACTATTAGTAAGTAACATTGTTTTAAATTTTTCTCAGTCACATGCAAAAACATACATGCATCTGAAAAACATTACGCTAAGTGAATCAAAACAAATACAAGGAGTCTAAGACTGAATGGATGAACTCACATGTGAAATCTAACACAAACTCAGAAAAATGCAGAGCAGAACAGAAATTAACAGAAGCTGGGATGAGTTAGAAATGGGAAATGTTGTTTGCTAGGGTACAGAGTTTCAGTCTTATACATTTACTGTACAGCAAAGACCACAGTTAGTTACAACTATTTATTTCAAAATAGCTTAAAGAAAAGATTCTGAGGCTAGAGAGGTGGTTCAGCTGTTAAGAGGACCTGAAGTCAGTTCCCAGAACCCATATCAGGCAGTTCACAGCAGCATGTACAGCTGCAGAGGGATCTGTACCTCTGGCCTCTACGGACACGTGAACATATGTGCACGTACTCACACATGACACACATGAACATATATATATATAAGTAAATTCAAAATTTTTAAAGGATAGATTTTAAGTAGTTTTACCATAAAATATGGTGACTACGTAAAATGAAGGCATGTTAATAAGCTTGAAATTATTCCATAATGAAAATACATAAATCAAAACACATTGTGGAGCTGGGGATATAGTTTAAGCACTGACTGTTCTTCCACAGGACCTGGGTTCAATCCCCAGCACCCACATGGCAACTCACAACTGTCTGTAATTCCAGTTCCTGGGGATCCAACACCCTCACATGGACATACTTGCAAGCAAAATACCAACACACATTAAAATAAATGAATTAAAAAAAAAATCACTGAGCATCATAAACAAATACAGTATTTGTTGATTACAACAAAGAAGACCCTAAGAGAGACATACATGGATCTAATCTATATGGGAAGTAGAAAAAGACAAGATCTCCTGCATAAATTGGGAGTGTGGGGATCATGGAAGAGGTTAGAAGGAAGAGGAAGGGAAGGGAGCAGAAAAATACATATAACTCAATAAAAAAAATAAAATATTTGATTAAAATAAAAATTTTTAAAGATTTTTAAATTTTCAAAAAGAAACTTCAATACTAGTAAAGAATTTTAGTATTAATAACGAACTTTAGTACTAGTAAAGTTGAGCATATTCAAAGCTTCATTATTTTGCATCTTATCCCCTTTTTTTTCTTCTCGAGAATAAGGGTTTCATTTAAGAAGCACATTACCATTATGAATCACCTAAGTCCCTTTCATCTGGTTAATTCTCCACAAAGACTCAAGAGTCATAGGCCGAGTCTAAGATGACTGTGCTCCGTCTGTCTAGAAACACTACCCTGGGGAGGAACATCTGTCCTACTGCATTGGCCTCTAGTCCAAAAGAACACATTTGTCTCAGACCATTTCTCGTGATATTTCCTCATCTTATTTCAAAGTTGAAGTGAGAGTAAAGGACTGTAAGATGTTAAGAACACAGGGCAGACGGAGAGCTGACATCTGCAGGTAGGTAGGGATAAGCACCGGGGAAGAAGCAGGCTGGTTCTGGACTGAGCACAACAGACACCTTACAGCAGGCGGCTCAGTCATGGTACAAGAGTAAGTAGGAGCCACATGTACTGAGTAAAAAGAGAAGGCAAATCCTAAGGCATGCTTCCTTGTAATCCAAGGGACCTGAAAACAGTTTCCACTTACTATTGGTATTCTCCTAGGGAAGACTGTAAATTAAATGTCAATCAAGCTGCTGGTGTCCCAAAAAGCTGGTTAAGGCAAGAAGCACTGAAAACTTACTGAAGGAAAGTAAGAAGTCCACTGGGTGAGTTTTGGAGACTTTTTCTTGTATTACTAGTGCTCTGAGTTTCTAACTCTCAAAGTAGTTAGAAACATAACATTGAATTTCTGTGTTGTGTTAAGAAATAAATATTAAACACCCAAGACTCAGTGGTTATCTCCTAAATGGAACCCATCACACAGATTCTGATCAATAGACTAATTCCAATCTCACAATATATCATTTTTTGGACCTATTTAATTCTAAGAGAAAGTTTAAAACCTTTTTCAATACAAATCAACACAATAATAGCATCTTCAGTTTGTGGCTATTTTTTTTTTTTTTTTTTTTAAAATTTATTTATTATGTATACAATATTCTGTCTGTGTGTATGTCTGCAGGCCAGAAGAGGGCACCGGACCTCATTACAAATGGTTGTGAGCCACCATGTGGTTGCTGGGAATTGAACTCAGAACCTTTGGGAGAGCAGGCAATGCTCTTAACCACTGAGCCATCTCTCCAGCCCCAGTTTGTGGCTATTTTTATAGTCAAGGTCAATACTATAAAAATCTGTTTATCCTTTTCTACTTTAAAGTATTATCTCTGCTATGCTAAAGTAACAAGATATAATAAATAATAAATACAAGAATAAATAACAAGATTCAGTGTGGATCTACTGAAGATAAAATGTTACTTTTAATGTACAATAATCAATCAAAGTAGTGTTTCCGGATACAGATTTCCACTTCCCAGATCAAAGTAAAGGAACACTAGGCACTAGTGAAAGGCCTCTCCCCGCTTCCTACCTGGAGGTGGGATCAGAGGAGGAGCAGTGCTGACAGTTGGAGGAGGTGGAAGAAATGGAGGCGGTGGAAGGTGAGTAGGAGGAGCCCCTGGCGGGAAAAATGGAGGTGGTTTGCTGAAATTGTTGTCCACTTCAGTAGCAGATCTGTCAGAAAGGACCTAAAAGTAAAGCATAATTCATCAGCACGCTAAATAAATGTTGAGCAGAGTTTGGTCAGTTCACTCCATTCATTCTAAAAAGGGAACTAAAAGGCACATGGGGGGGGGTAATATTTCTAAGCCATGTGTGTTATATGTACATATTTGAGTACAAGTTCATACACCTACTTTTTAAAATGTTCATACTCAAAGCCTAGGATTAAAAATTTAGACTACCAAAAATTTTTTTTCAGTAAGAATTAACAAAGCATTTCAGGTTATAAACAAACACTTCATAAACACAATACAGCAAATACCACACTTTAATCTCAGGCAAAGTTTAAGTGCTGAGTTACAGTCAGTATAGATTATGCCCTAAGAAATTCATATGCAAGTAGGCAGGCATATGAGGACCTAATCTCTCCACATGGAAAGTGTTAAGCATTTATTAACAGGTGGAAAATAAGCAGCTATGAATGTAAATAACTTTTCATGTGAGCATCTGTTAAGAGCAAAAGTTCCCACTGAAAAAGAATGCAGTGTTGACTGTGCGAATAGCTAAGAACAAGAAAATCCAAACTTACTAAAACAAGGCAGGAAGGTGACCTCCACAAATTGGAATGTCTAACAGTCACATGACAGATTCTGATATGCAATGAGCTTAATAGCAAAACAAGCTAATGCAATATATATTTATACCCCTGAATTCTTACTAAAACATACCATTTAAATATGTTAATTTTTATTAATTTTTTTCTATATTTAAGTACAATAATTTTCTGAGTATTCTACTCATAATGTAGTAAAATTGGAAACCATCTCAAGAAATCTTAACATTTTAATGGTAAGAAGAACTATCTTCTATGTTTACAAAAATTACCTTTAAAATGCTAAAAAAAAAGCGTATTTAATATACTTTGTTGACAATAAACAGCTAGGTGGTAGAGCTCTAGATTCTTTCCCCTTCATTTTTTTTTCAATGAGATCATATGGTATTGTTCATAACAAGGAAAGGAAAATTTCACTCATAGGAACTGAGAGGTTATAAATTCTAAATGGAAAGCTTTTCCAATAAGTACAAATAACGCTGAAGGTTTTGCATATGAAATCCCTTCATAACAATGAAAGCAACTGCCGGGCGGTGGTGGCGCACACCTTTAATCCCAGCACTCGGGAGGCAGAGGCAGGCGGATCTCTGTGAGTTCGAGACCAGCCTGGTCTACAAGAGCTAGTTCCAGGACAGGCTCCAAAACCACATAGAAACCCTGTCTCGAAAAATCAAAAAAAAAAAAAAAAAACAATGAAAGCAACTAACACTGACTAGCACTTCAGGGGTCTACATACATACATTGCATTGATGAAACTAGACTACAGAACAGTTGATTTTAAATACAAAACCTGTATATTGCTGTTTTCGTTTGCCCGCCGTCTTCCTTCTACTCGGCTGATGGTTATTGTTTGACCAATGACATCAATTGCACCGGGCAATCTCCTGAAACACAAGAGTTGAAGCAATTTAGTTTCATCTAGTTAGATGAATGAAGAATAATAGAAATATTAACAAATAAACAGCCTTTATGATGTACTTTTAAAGTAAAAATTTATTGAAAGAATTTCTCTGAAGTAGATTCTTCTCACTACTTTGCAATTTGACATTTAAAAAAATATTTTACTAAAGTAGTTTGCAAACAAATTTATCTTTGTGGAATAGAATCAGATAGTAAATGCTAGACCAGCTGAAATAAAATGTGTGAAGCACTGCAGTTCCACAAGTAATTCTATTCCTCAAACCCTTAGAGTTCTCCAGAAGGGCTAGAAAAGAGATCATGGTCATTTTCACACACAAACACACCACATACACCATTCTCCATAGTGCTATAGTCCAGGCTTTGAGACCTTAAAAGAAAAAAATGAAACCATGTTTTCCCTTCTAGTTACTCTCCTTTAGGCTAACACTCTAAGCACTCAGAAGCCTGGCTTACCTGTCATCGCTATGTACGATCCTTCTCAAATTTGAGAGGTAAGGATAAATTATCTACCAGAAATCATGTTACAAACCTAAAAGAGACACTCAATAGGCTAATTTTTCTTTTTTAATAAAAGCTATTATGTAGTTGAGGAAGGGCTTTTAAGAGCGTATATGCTGAACAAGAAAGAGGAAATCACTTGCAGAAACAGGCTATGAAAAGTGGATGGAAGAAGTGTTTTGCTTTTCAGTACTAACAATTCACACTCTAAACTTCACAGAAGAAAAAATCCTTAAAAGAAATCTATCAAAGGAGAAAGAAACAAATACAAAACAAAATTAGGGTATATTTGTTGTATATGGTAATAACAAAGTGCAGAGTACAATTAATTGACATAATAATTGGATGGTAAAACTAATTTTCATATCTGAAACCTTCTAACCTCATGAACTACATGTGCTCCTTTCCAACAAAGTAAGTAATTCACCTTTGAAAACATGAGGGCTTTCCTGGAAATAATGCATTAGCAAATTTGTTTCCAGTAACTATTATTTTACAGCCCTGAGAATAAGAAGCGCCCATCATTGAAGTACACAAGGATATCAGGGATGTCATCCACATATAAGTCAGGATCCTTCACTGTCTTCTACACCAGCCTTGGCCCTCTAGTAAAAAGCTCAGATACAAATCAATGTCAGTAATGACCACGTTGTGCTGACTTACTCCTGCACTTTTAAGACAACAAAACAACATTCAAGCCTTTCTAACTGTATGTGAATCACTGACTTCCTAGCATCCCCATAAAAGCAATGAGCAAGAGTAGTGCACAAATCGTAGAGACATTCTGTTTAAACATTTATTTTCATTTTTATTCAGTTCTGTGCAGGTACCCACGCAGGCCAGAATAAAAGTGTTAGATTCCAGGGAGTTGGAGTTCTGTAGTTACAGGCAGCTCACAGCCACAGAATGTGAGGTGCTGGGAATCAAACACCAATCCTTTGCAAGAGCACCAAGTTCTTATAACCACTGAGCCCCTGAGATTCATAGAACTTAATATCCTCCGCTATAATTGGGGAAATAGCCAGACTTTTACATATAGGAGAAAAATCCAAACACAAGGAAAGCAAAAAGTCCTCCAATTTGTACCTTAAAATAATACAAAACTATGCAGATCACCGCTTCCTTTTAAAGCATGTGCCCTCTGCCCTTGGCCTCCTACATACTGTAAGATGTGGTGCTTATTTCCTCACCGTTTACAACCACCGAAATTTCAATATCAAAATCTACTTCCTTTCTTACTATTTCCCACCACAGAATTGGTCCCTCTCCCAGTTCTGAAGAGTATTTCCATCAAAAGTACTCTGCCACGTTTGTTTGGACTGTGAGTTTCCTGACTCAATAAAGGCGTCCACTGGAAAGCAAGCCTCAATACAAGATTAACTTTGTTGTGGGATGACTGCTAACAAACTGTCTCTTAGCACTGATCACCAGAATTTTCAGTTTTAAGAACTCCAGGAATATCAGGAAGGAAGCAAGCAGCTCTTCAACTTTCCCTAAATGAAGAGCATAATTAGTTTTCTCAGCTTTAAGTGGGATAATCACAAGAAATTCAAGATAGTAAATACCATGTTTATAAAAGCAAAACAGCGGAGAAGTCGGTTTTCAGAACACACCCCCAACGGAGGTACAAAACACTGCAGTTGCCTCCATTCCCTAAGACCTCCTTGCTCAGGTTTTTGTAAAAAACAAAACAACAACAACAAAAAAAAACAAACCACACACACCAACTAATTCACTTTTATTATAATGAATTTGACATTTTGTTCACAAGTGGATTATGACATATTCATAGATGTAGCAAAGTAAACATAAGTAACATGTAACACAATGGAATAATTAAAAATTCCATTAGTTCTGAGCCACATTGTGGGTGAATACACTGAGTCACATTAGTCCCTGACTGTATCCCCATTAACTTTCCCACTCCATCATCTTGAGGATTAAACCCAGGGCCTCAAGTTATGCTAGTTCTCTACCAACTCTCCATGAAAACCCTCAGCAGTGCTGCACGACAGCAAGAGCTGCTAGAACGCAGATGTCAGCATAGTGCGTCTAGGCTCACCCGGCTCCAAACCTGCTCAGCAATGCCGAGTCAGCTACTGCTATTACCACAACTCTTCATATTAGACTCAACTGTACGGTAAAAAGCAGAGACAGAAACTAACCACTCTGGATATCTGAGTTTATCTACAGCTTCAGTAGACTCTTGTTCATAAGAGTTTCTATCTTGCAGATATCCTACAACTACGAAATCATCTCTGAAATCAAATTAAAATGTCTTATTTTGATGATTCTGTTGTCCCAGAAAGAATAAAGGGCAGCTAATAAAGATAAAACTGGAATTTCTCAATGGCAATTAGAGGTCAAACTAAGATACAGACAGAAGCAATTTGCAATCTCTGTCATCATTTTATGTCTAAGCTAACCACTTAACAGGAAGGGCAAAGGAATCCTAGTGCACAGCTATCTAGTGTGTATGATAAAAAGCATTAGTCTGCAAATGGCTTGTTGGTAATTCTAGAACTTGTATTAATTGAGTACTTTAATTATATTTATAACTTATGACACAACAACCATTATTTGCATTTTTATATGAGAATACAGAGCAAACCTAGACCCAATGAATTCTTTTTGGAAGAAAGTATGATAGATTGCAGTAATTTTTAAATTTTATTGGTAATAAAACACACAAGAAATGTGTTTGCCTAAAAAATCTAGAACATACATATTACATTTAAAAAACCAGAGTTTTGTAAAATGATGCTTACTATAAAAGAAAAATACAATATTAAAAGCAAACATAATTTCCTTATAAAAAAAGTATGACAAAACCCAACAAATACCACTTAGAGCCCCCAAACTGACTGGCACTCAGAAATGAATTACAACCATATGCTTTAAAAAGTACCAAAACCAGACAAAATATGCTTATCTGTATGACAAAAGCGAAAGTATATTTCACAGATCCACTCTTAAATGCTGCGTAAAGCACAACAGTGTGAGACTTAATAATATCAGGTGAGCCCAACAATGGTAAAGTTTCATCTAAGGAAGAGCAAATGTTCTTAACTAGCACATCTCTCTTTCTAAGGATCCAAACCCAAGGCGATAATACGTGTGAGTAAAATGCAGATGACACCACTGTGTGAAGTCAAGTTTACAAATGAGTCATCTCTGCAAAGAAAATCCAGAACACCATCTAGCTTTATATTTATAGTCTGAGGGTTTTTTTCATAAGAGTTCCTAATAAAAACTAAGCAGCAGACACATTTCAAAGATTTGTTCTCTCAGAAAAAAATAGCATCTGAGCTTTTCTTATATTAAAACAATAGATTTATTTATTTTATATGTACAGATGCTTTTCCTGCATGCTTATCTGTTCACCATGTGTGTGGTGCCTATGAAGGCAGAAGATGGGGTATGATGCCCTGAAACCAGAGTTAGACAGTTGTGAGCCTCCAATGGAAGCTGTGAACTGAACCCACATTCTGTCCAAGACCAACAAGTGAGCTTAACCACTGAACCATCTCTCCAACCCCAATGTTTGAATTTCCATATGACCGAATAAAAGACAAATGTAGCCAGTTGTCTCAATCAAGTCATATATCTAAACATATAGCTGTAACCTCTCTTGAGCTGCTGGAGGAAAGAATGAACCGACAAACAAGACAACTTAAACACACGAATGGGAATGAGGATATTTTAGACGGTATGAAGAGCACAAACAATGGAAGAATGTAGAGAAAGTATTGTGTAGGATGTCTAATGTAAAGTATCTACCATACAGCTTGCAAATGAAGACACACAATACCCTTCTGAAAGCGGCTGGCACTCAAAGCCAGAAATTATAAATTAAATGAACATTACATAAAAGACTAAGTGAGGCTATAAATGTTACCAATGCCAGCTCTCAGTACAGCTCCATCTATCATTCTAGCGCAAAACTCCACTGTAAGCTTGCATTTGATTCCAATCTTTCAGCCAACCCAGAATCAAGCCTCTAAGTCAATCTGAGAGATAATTTTGCTGGCCAGGATAAATATAAATTCAATTACTATGCACGACATCAAATTATTATATAGTATCACTAATACAAGTATTAAAATTCTGAATTACATTTCATTGCTAACAATATGAAAAACATTCTATTTGACTCCACATATCAGAACTAACTTTACTTTAAATAATTTCAAATTTCTCTTAATTCCACATGTAAAACTTTACTTTCATTTAAGTACATTTAAAATTTGTCACTGAAGACTATTGAAATAAGTTATTTTATCACTCTTCTTTTAATCTACTATATATTTTGATGGGCATGGGCTTTATTTATTTAATGTGTAAGTGTGTTTGTGTGCACACATGTCTGTGCACTACATGCACGCCTGGTGCCCACAGAGGTCAGAAGAAGGCATCAATTGCCTAGAACTGAAGTGACAGTGATTGTGAACCACCACATTGTGTGCTGGAAACTAAGCCTGCAAGAGCAGTAAGTGCTTTTCATCTCTGAGCCACCTCTTCAGCACCCCACCCTGTTTTTATTCTTAACCAACCAAAAATCACACACATAAAATTGTTCCGAAAATTTTTACCTTATTGGTTATACCTATACCAATAATTAGGGTATTTTTATAAAAAGTCAAAATACTGTCTTTGACATGAATGCCTACTTTTTTATTTGACATGAATACTTATTCTTTTCTAATGGCAAACCTCAAACTGACTAAAAATTTTTACAATTCACTAAGAATATATAATTAAGCTTCTACAGGGGAAAAAAAACTATGAAAATCAAACTTTCTTTTGATAGTGTTGCCCCCCTTGCTTTTTGCAAAATGCTACAAACAAAAGCATCTGCCATAATTTACATATCTAAAAGCTTTTAAACAAAAGTGATTAAAATCAAACCACCACAAGATCATTAGTACATGATTTACACATAGGAAGCATAAAATTCATATAGGAAGCATAAAATTCTTCAACAACACAAAACAAAGCCAAATAACAAAATTAGTCCTTGTTTGGTTGTAATTATTTAAATCTCAAAGGGCATCTTAAAATTATCCTGGTCAATACATCTGCGTCACACACTAAAATAATCATCTCTCGTACTAGCATAGGCAATGCACTCTATGGAGAGCAGTGCTCAGCTCACTGTACCCTTCAGGAATGAAGTTATTCCCATTTCACAGACTTAGAGAAATTGTAGTGTGTGTCTATGGCTGTACATATTGTAAATACAAAATTTACAACATGAATCAAAATTCTATGGATGGTGGGATCATGAGTCAACCTGTTAACAAGGGCGGTTGGTAGACCACCTTACAGGAAGAGGAGGCTTTTACACTGTAGCTGGATAGAATTAGAAAGATTCTGTGGAGTCAAATTTTGCAAGTCCCAAAGCGAGTTCAGAAAGTTACACTTCATGTATAAGCAGTGAAAAATAGCTGAGAATATCATAAAAAGATGTAGAAGAGCAAAGATTAACATGCAACAAGGGGGAAAGAAAAATAAATTCAGAACACCCATTAATGTGGTTCAATGTAACAATTACATAATATAAAAGGCCAAAAGGATGAGGAAGACACATGCTGGCTCTCAGTAAATGCCTCAATTGCAATCTGAAAAAGCATCACTGGGGAAAAATATGGTATAGTCTCAAAACTAGTTACCTTATTTTATACTAAGAGACAAAATAATACCAATGATCTAAAGATGAGGAAGTAGCCAATGTTTAAATCAGCCTTACCTTAGATCAGGTGACTCGGCCCTCCCATATCGATCCTGCCACTTCCCAACGCTTGAACTGGCTTTTCTGGAGGCAGTACTTGTCTGAGACTGAGAAGAGGTGCTGTTTCTGGTGAGATAAATTTTCTGTGTTTTTTCTTACATACTGTTGTCTCTAGCCCCCCTCGTTCTGTTTATCTTTTTCCTGGCATGCTTTTTCTCGGGTGCTCTGATATGTTCCTACAGTACCATTCTTTTACGTCATAAAGTGCTTGCTGTAGAACCAACACCTGGAGGCATTTTAATCTAGATGTTATTTAATTTAGATGTTATCTGATCAACTCTAGAACACTGTTAGAAAAACTTTTCAACATAGTATGGTGTCAAGATGGAGAAACGAAAAAAGAATCAAGGCTATGCCCAAATAATTATCAAGAAACAAATTCCTGTGCCTTTATGAATGAATAACAATCTCTGCCATTTCACAAACTCTCAATCAAAACTCATAATGTTTTCTCTTTGCTCTTCAATAACACATAGCTGTCAGTACAACCAGGTAACAGTAGGGCTCTAATTTGTTTCTTAAAAACTTTGATAAACTAAAATTTCATTTCAAAGATTAACTCTTTCCATTTAAATTTCCACTGTTTCCCAGTGACATGCTCCACACGAAGTTTAGCTAGGCACAATGACGCTCGGAAGGCTGAGACAGGAAGATCACCACAGAAAAGACCATCACAAAAGTAAGGACAGCTATTTCTATTCTTGCCAATCCTGTGAAAGATCAACGTTCTTTCAAAGCTACTAAAAATACACGTTTCTAAGTCTACTTCTGGAAACAAGTACCCAGGAAAAATGAACTACAAACGAATTGAAGTGAACCTGGAGTGACAACTCCACAGACACCATTGGAGAGCCCTCCCCGACCATGGCTCTTTGTTCCATATCCTACATGTATGAAAAGAAAGGAAAAGAAATGCTAAGAGTGAGCAGGTTAAAAGAACCAATAAGACTATAGCATGTGAATAGATGTTTTCACCACTCATCCTCAGTCTAAAACAGAACAGAAAGAACTGCTAATGAATCCTGAATTCTATTCTAATTGTGTGTGTTTTAATGGCTACGCAGAAATTCCAAATCTATTAGGACTGTATTTGATTATGAATCAAATGAGTAATATACTGAAGCTGTTGGGAGCCAGATTATCTATCACCATGAGAAAAAGAGACATAATATGGACTAGTGCGGAGAAAGGATGCACTCTGTGGTGTCAAACTGGATGTCAAAGAAACATGATTTCATGACTAAAACTTTATTTAAAAATATGCAAGTGACACTTTCATATTAAAATTGCTATCTTTCCTCCTACCTGTTAAGTGCTAAAAAGGCCCTGAAAAGAAATGACACCCCAGTAAAATGAGCACAGCTACCAGCCTGATCTTGCTTTTAAACTAGTATTTCCTCCTAAGAGGGGATGTCTTGAGAAGAGATCAGAAGTAGAAGATGAGCTTGAAATACTCTGCTAACACCAAAAAGTAGAGCTCATAATACATACATACACACATACACACACACACACACACACACAGTCAAAAGCAATTTTGAAGAGACTCCGCCAACCAAATTTGACACATCAAAACAATTTTATATATAATTATGAGATATATATATATATATCTCACATAAAATTCACACACCATAAATACATAAATCAAACTTATAAGCACCCCCCCATGTTCTTTTATACCTAAAAATTAATGTATTTAGTGAGGCAATGTTGGTAATGCCTGTAACTAGAGAGGGTGAGGTGGAAGGACTGTGAGTTTAGAGCTAGCCTAAGCTACATAGTAAAATCTTGTTTCAAAAAATTGAAAAGCAGGAGCTGGAGATACCTAAACGGTTAAGAGTACTTATTGCTCCTTTCAGATAACCCAAGTTTGGTTCTTAGCACCCCCATATGGTGGCTGACTAACACCTTTAACTCCACTCCAGGGGATCCAGCATCCTCTTCTTGCCTCCTCAGGAGCTAGATATACATGTGGCACACACAGACAAAACACTCATAAAAGCAAATAAGAATGAATAGATGGCTTAGTGGTTAAAAGCACTGAGAGCTCTTCTAGAGGACCAAGGTTTGAGTCTTCGCACCCACAAGGTAGCCCACAACCTTGTCTGTTTCACATGATCCAACTCACTTCTGTGGGTACCATGCACACATGTGGTGCACAGACTTACACGCATGCAAAACACCCATACTCATTAAAAGGATAATTTAAACAAAACTTTAGAAGTCAATCACTGTTTCATAGACATTATAGTAGCAACTCAGTTATTTAAAAAAATCAGCAGATGCTAAAATTCTTAGGAAGTTAGAACACTTATAATCAGTTTCTCCACAAAATTATTATTATTATTATTTAAATGATGCTAGGAATCAGACAGAGGGCCTTGTACATGTTACGCCAGACTTTGGGACTTGCACATGCTAAGGGCAAAACATTTTTCTAAAACTGAGCAACATCCCCAATGCAAAAATTAATTCTTAAATGCAAAAGGGGAAACAGGAACTTGAAGAAAAACCAGAAAGGTATAGCCACAAGTAACTCACCAGATTTACCATCATTAATAAAAAAAACAAGTGGGGCAAACTGGGATTCTTTATCTGGAGAATAGTGTACTGAAGAGGAGAACACAGTGTCACTTACACAAGTCTCAAGCATAGGCCCATCTAATGAGGAGGAATTGGCAAAGCCAGATTGAGGAATCAACTCTAAAACAACTGGATTGCACTCATCTAGAATACAACAGAAGGCTGAGAAGCTGCTCTAGATGATAAACACCTAAACAGAGAGCTCAAATGAATGACCCTGGATTGAGTCCAAGGTCAAGAAGAAAAGGAATTCCATAAAGGGCAACACTGAGATAACTAACAAATAACTAGCAATAACTAGTAAAATCGATGATCTGGGTATTAGATAAAGGATTGATTTAGCATTGCATTTTCCTAACTTTGATAACTGCCCTATTTATACTTATGGAATAAAATGCCCATCCATGTTCCTAAGAAATACAAGGTGAAGTGTTTAGAGGTTAAGAAAACAATGCATCCAATGGTTACTATCCCAATTAGTACCCAAATGATTGAGAGAGAAAAGTATTTTTAACAAGAAAAACAACATGTTAGGACCTAATGAACTGTGTAGGTGAAGTTCTCCCTGATTTACTTGCAACCTGTAAGTTTAAATAATCGTCAAAACAAAACAGTACAAAATGAAAACAACAAAGGAAGGAATAGCAAAGGTCTGTTTTCCAATCTCCTTGATTGTTTACAACAATATATTGCATTTAGAAAATCTTATCAAGATGTACATTCATATCACTTTCCTGTAGATATGTACTTCAAAAGAAAATAATATGAAAACTTAAAAATATTAAACAAGCATTCAGATATAGTAAACGTAGAACTTTCCTTAAGTATGCAAACTTGCTGGACAGTACAGAAGTTACAAACTCACTTTTTCTACTAATACCAAATTTAAGAAGTTCTTTGCTAACATCTACCTACACATTAATAAGACAATCTAAAAGAGATCTAGTGCTTAGGCCAGTATCACAGATCACTACTTGCTGTGGGACAATGGTCTTGTACTTTGTCAAGATTTGCCACTCGTATTTTAATAAAACGCTGATGGGCCAATAGCCAGGCAGGAAGTATAGGTGGGGTGACCAGGCAGGAAAGAGGCAGGGCCATGAGAAAAGGGGAATTCTGGGAAGAGGAAAAAGTCAGTCTGCAGTCATAACCCAGACACAGAAGAAGCAAGATGAGAATGCCTTGCTGATAAAAGGTACCAAGCCACATGGCTAACACAGACAAGAATTATGGGCTAATTTAGGATGCAAAAATTAATTAATAAGAAGCCTAAGCTAGGGGCTGGAGAGATGGCTCAGAGGTTAAGAGCATTGCCTGCTCTTCCAAAGGTCCTGAGTTCAATTCCCAGCAACCACATGGTGGCTCACAACCATCTGTAAAGAGGTCTGGCGCCCTCAACTGGCCTTCAGGCATACAGACAGAATATTGTATACATAATAAATAAATAAATATTTTTTAAAAAAAAGAAGCCTAAGCTAATAGGTCAACCAGTTTATGATTAATGTAGACCTCTGTGTGTTTCTTTGTGACTGAACTGTGGGCCGGGTAGGACAGAATCCTCTGTCAACAACTACTCTTAAATATGTTTTATGTCTCAGAGCTGACAATAGCTATCTTTCCCCTAAACTCAAAAAAATTTATTTCCAAAGATTTTATCCAATTTCCATACATATAAAATGACCCCCCCCACACACACACACATACACACATACATTATTTTTAGGGAAATAATTTACAATGATTATAAAAGTCTGTTTTGATTATCTGAAGATAAATTCAGAAAACAAATGTTCCTACTGAGGAATGAGCAATGTCCTTCATATTCAAAACTGATGATAAAAGCATACTAAGTATGTTTCTATCAGTTGCAAGGGAAATTACTCATACTTTCTTAAGTAGTGATAAGTCTGCTAATTTTCCCATCCTTCCTTCATACATTTTTTTATGTCCCTTACCATCTTTTTCAATCCATCTCTCTTTATGTATACCTTCCAATGTCTTCATCTCTACTTAGATCCAGAGTCATTACTATTATAACCCGTGGTTGCGCTCCTGTATCCCTTAGTTACCTGGCATAATCTCTGCTCCTGTGAAATACAACTTTAACTGCTCTACTTGAACACATCTAAAGCATACTTGACTTGGCACATTTTAGACCACGGCATTAACCTAACAAACAGGAAACATAGAGCTTCTTTCTTTATGCCATCAACTTTTCATTTTACTAACTCATTTGCATCAACATATAAAACATTGCTTCTCCAATTTTGAAGCCTTCGTACTCTGTTTCCTCCAACTACCGCCAAGTGAGCCTAGTCTTTTTTCCCAAAAAGTTTACTCACTTACTCCAAAAAAAGACCACTTTAGGTTTCTCTTTTCAACCATTAACACCCCACTCCTTAGCGATCTGAAGAGAATGTCCCACTGTTCTCATTATCCACCTGCCTGCCTATCATTATTTTTGTTTATTTATTTATTGCTGCAATCTCCTACAAGGGTCCCCGTTTCTACTTTTACTCACCTACATGATACTCTTAGCAAAGAAAATAAAGTGAGACTTAAAAACCATTTGTACCCTACATTCTCTCCAGTTACGGAGTTGTTACTGCCCATGTATGGCATACCCTGGTCCCTTGGCCTAACTAAGAACACTGCCCCACAAATGTCCTCTTCCTTACTTCTTGATCATTAATATTTAGTTGACTAACTCTCAAGTATATAAATGCTGCAATTTCTTTTGCCTTGAAAACTCTGGCCTCACACTTCTCCCTTTCCCTGGTTCTGGCCCCACAGACAAGAAAAAATAGTCTTTAAAACTGTTCGTATTTTACTTTTCAATTCCTCTTATTTCTCTGTTTTGTTTCTGAGATAGTATCTTTCTATATAGTTCTGGTTGTTCTGGAGCTCACTTATATAGACCAGGCTGGCCTTGAACTCAGAGAAATCCACCTGCCTCTGCCTTTAATACTGGGATTAAAGGAAGATCTCTCGTGTCTGTAGAAGTCATTTAAAAGTTTTTTCAATTCACCTTGTACATGATCTTGGTCAGGACCACCAATGACTATCACACCTGAAAATCTAATAGAAATCTGGTCTTCATCTTCTTGACCAAATTTATCATTAATGTTTGACAGTTGATGACTCCATACACTAACTTCCATCTTAGGCCTCTTTATTGGTTCCTTTTTATTATTGATTTCCATTCATTTCTTTTAGTATCCCAAGGCTCTGGGCTCTTATCACTTCCTGATCAATACTTTTTTGATGGTCTAATTAAATTTCACAGCTTAGCTTTAGATACCATTTCAACAGTCTCAAGTTTCTTTCTCCAGTCAATACTCTTTTCCTCATTCCATAGTAACATTTAATTTTAAATTTCGTACTGAGGTGGCACCTCAACTTCTATTCCCGCAACTGGATGACTTCTCTCTCCAAAAGCAATTCCTCTTGTATCCATCCCATCTCTTAAATGACAACCCCATCATGACATTTGTGTTGAGCAAGACAAAAATTCACTCAGAATAACTTTTCTCTATAGTCTACAACTGATCAATCAGACATACCATTGCAGGTTTTTGGGGTCGACACAGTAGCTTAGTATTCCGACTACTCATCATTATCTTGGTCCAGGATACCATTATCTCTTGCCTAGATATTGGTTGCGATCTCTTACACCTTATCCCCTTTTATATCACTGTTCACACTGTAAGCTGCTCTTACTAAAGCAGCTGAATTGAGACTTGAAAACCTCAATCAGATTGGCCTGTTAAAAATCTGACTGTGGCTCTCCATTCATTTCAAATAGAGTAAAACACGAAGTTCTTATATCATCACAAGATGTGATACAATTCAACATCCTCCCCACAAAGGAGGGGAAGCAAAAGGAGACAAAGACCCCATGACTCTGAAAGAGTTCACTGTGACAGTAAAGTATTTAGAGAATGTTTTCATGTGACAAACACTGTTCCACAACACCAACAGAACTTAATCATTTGACACACGCAGTTAGACTGCAATGGAAATACCATTACTACATTTTATCAGTTAGGAAATCCAGGCCTAACAAAATTAGAGAGTCCGCCCAAGGACGCTCAACTAGTAAACTGCTGAGTCAGAATTTAAACCCCAGAAATCTAAGGCAAGATCCCAATCTCTTAAGAAAACTCAAAAGCAGAGCACACAGAAACTCAACAAAACATAGCTGACCTTTTATAAAAATACCAAATCCAAAATACTACCTATTAAAGGATCAATTCTTGTTAGCTTCTATAATTAATTACTAAATCAAAAGTTTATGAAATTTCATTTAGTTCAAATTATGACATTTGAGATATTTCTAGAACAATCCATGAAAATCTTGGCTTACTTTTAAATGCTTCATTTTGCATTAAAGCTTCAAGAATCTTTACTTTAGCTGGTCATGATAGCACATGCTGTTAATACCAGCATCTGGGAGGCAGAGACAGGCAGACTTCTGTGATTCTGATTCCAGTCTGATCTACACAGCAAATTCAGGGCCAGCCAGGGTTACATAAGACTCTGCCTTAAACAAACAAAATCAAAACAAATAAAAGACCATTTCAGTTTGAGACGAGCCTTAAGCTTCTCTATGGTCTTTTCCCCAACAGTGCACTATAAATTCTAATTTCTCAGAATAGTAATAAACTGCAGAACAGATAAAAGGAGATAATAAGAACAAAAATTTAAACAAGCAAAAATAAAAAGGTAAATAGTCAGGCAGAGAATCTGTAATGGCTGAGTTGATTTATTTCAGGGCCAGAGCTGATATCACAATCTAATCCAAAACTAAACTGCTGGCATCCTCAACTTTCACTGGTCTTCATTAATTCTTTGTTATTTTCCTTATAGTGGAGCCAAAAAGACTCATTTCGCATGTCACATTTGAATAAAAAGGACATTTTTTCTGCATAATTACTACTTCTATCTAGTATTTTATAAACACAAAATCGGGGGTTATATGAAAGCAAAGAATGCCAAGAGACTTTTATGAATGAAATTTCTATGATTTCTTTTACAAAAATCCCTTTAAGTCCATAGATCTTGCCTAGGAAGTCCAATAAATCCTTATTTAATAATAATATACACAGTAGAGTATGAGCAGCCACCACTTCTGCATGAAAGATTAATGTAACTATACCATGCTTTATTTCTTGCAGACTCAGGTGTTTTGTTTTTTAAGATGGAATAGCACCCTGAAAAATTTTATAATAATTCAAACTAAAAGTAGAGTGTTCCAGTTTGTACTGGAAGAAAACTGGGAGACATCATATTTAACAGAGTCTTACAACACAAACCCAACACCAAGATCCTAATGCTAGGACCATAAGTGTCTACTAACCTGCTTGGTGGCAGGCCCGTCTTGAACAATGATGGCGGAGAAGTAAACTCAGCTTTTGTAGATGGAAGCGCTGCTTCTTTCTCTGAATTTCCAGTTCTCCCTTGCTGTACCTTCAAAAAGAAAAATGGGCTTACTATTTTGCTTAATTTAACAGACACTCAAGCACGAGACACTTTTAAGTCTATAACATCTGCCCTGAGGATGTTAAACATGAAGAATGAACCATGCCTAGATATTTACTAAAAGGGACCTATCTATCAGCATTAGGTGAAATGCATCGAAGATGGATTTAAGGATCAAAATGTTCCTATCACAAAAACGTACAGTTTGTCACTGAGAAACCCCAATAAACTGTAAGTCATGGAGATTCACAAATTGCTCATGAACAAAAGTAAATGAGTCCAGGATATACTTGGTTATAACTCCATGTTTCTAAGTTCAAAGAAAGGCTTAAACTTTTCCCTTCTGTACCTAGGGCACAAGAATCTTTGAAGGAAAGAGAGGGGCATAAAGATCTTTAAAAATTAGAGGAACAGGAAGTTTGCTGTGAGACCATGTCTCCTAGAAATGCCTGCCTAGACAATGACCACATCAATGGGCTTGCTAACACAGAAGGGCTGTAAAGCTGAGAGTGGAGAAATGATCTTCTCTAAAGAAGAGCCCCTAATTGGTTATCCAATACCAAATGATCAGCCCTGAAATCATATACAAACAAGTAACAATATGGACTAAGTGAATTATATTTAGGAATATATGTATGTAATATATTTTTAAAGTATTGTTTAAAAAAAAAAACAGAGCCCATGAATTTGAGAGCAAGAGGGATATGTGGAAGGGTTGAAGAAAGGAATGAAAAGGGGGAACTAATGTAAGTCAAAATATTAAAAATTATTACTAAATAAATTTTTAATAAAATAATATAATAAAATAAAGCTAAATATTAACTTAAAAAGTCAGATCTCTATTAAGTAGTGGTCAGTTTTACCCAATTGGTACAGACCTATAATTAGGCCTTGACACCAAGTTCATTTGAAAATGAGCTCTACGGCTGACTAAAAGCAAACTCATTTAAACGTACAGACCCCAGTAGGATATCAGGACTATCACTAATGCAAGAAAGACAATAAGGGTTGAAATGGATTTAATACACACCTGGGAAAAACAATGCCAGAATGTGGTGACAGGGGAAGGAACTCAATTACCAAACATCCAGTAACTATCTATCATTCTGTACCCAAAGCTCAGACTACTGGAAGAAAAACTCTAAACCTCAGAGAAAACAAAAACTGTGAGCCCAATACAGCAAATGCTATGGAAAAAAACAGGGTCTAAGGAAAGTGAGGTGGTTCAGAGCACAAGGTGCTGACTTCCAAGCCTAGGACCCACATGAAAGGAAGAACGAATTCCTGAAAGCTGTCCTCTGCCCGCACAAATGTACCACGGCATGCGTGTGGACACACAGCCAAACAAGCCACACACACACACACACACACACACACACTCACACACTTTAAAGAAATAAAATGCAGTAAAAGATGCAAAAGAGACACATTATTCTGCCTAAAGGACTGGTTAAGGTCCCAATGTCTCCATAAATACCAGCAATTTGTATTCAATTTCTTGGCATGTCAAACTGACACCTCACAATTATTGTGGCATAAACTATCAACTTCCCCTAATCTGACCCTCTCCATATTTTCCTCATATTAATAAAATGGGATCACTACAGGTACTCTCTAACTCATGTTAACATACAAGATGTCAGCATTACCATTTTAATGTCACCAAAACCCATCAGCTGACAGGACAGCTCCCTAGCCAAGTCCATCAGTGCACATCAGCTACTGTGATAAATACACTCTCCACATCTGCTCTGACCTCTACATAGAGGCAAAGCAATCTCACCACATATGTACACCAAACTCATGTCTCTCCTCTGCTCAAGATTGCTTCCCAGTGCAACCAGAATAAAACAAACGTTTTAACACGGCCTGTGCAGTACAGGCGCTGCATCCCTCTGAACTTGCTTTCCTATTCTTACTCCACTCATTTTACCATTCCTAGTCATGATAGCCTTTGTCTTGTCCTTTTAGGTATGTAAGCTCCTCACCTCTCGTCAGGGTTTCTGAATTAACTACTGTGTTTGGAATAGCCTTTCTCCATACTGTCTCATGAATTCCTCTAATTCAAGCAGAGCAGTATTTACAATCACCACCTATGTCATTGCTCTGTACTTTCAATTATGGGTCAAAAACAGACTAAAATAACTCAAGTGGAAAATTCCCCAAACTGGCAGCTGATATGTTAAGCCACACAGAGCCTGTACCTTCCCAAGTCCATCTCACCTGGGTCATGAATCATCCCTTTGTCAATGCATCCACACCCATACATCAGCATGCTATTAATCAATCAGTCAGCCACTTAGGATACTAAAACTGTGATGGTAGCAAGGTGTTGATGTTTGGCTAACCCTTACTTAACTTGAAAACTGTTCCTGCAGGTTCTGGTGGTGCTGGTAGAATATGCTAAAGTGGCAGAGGCAGGAGGATCTGAGTTTGAGGCCTGGGCAGTAGTGGTGCATGCTTTTAAACTCAGCACTCCAGAGACAGAGTCAGGCAGATCTCTGTGAGTTAGAGGTTAGCCTGATCTAGAAGAGCTAGTACCAGGACAGGCACCAAAAAGAACTACACAGAGAAACCTGTCTCAAAAAACAAAAACAAAACAACAACAAATGATCCTAAAGCATAAAATAGTGATGCCAACAAAGAGATTCAAGTACTTCCTCTCAACAGAAAAGTCATTATATTCCAAGGTTGCTGTATAATAATTATTTTGGGCATACCAGAATAATTTCTATTAGTGTATTGCTCTGTATTGTTATTATTAATCACTTACTTGACTAATTTGGAAGTCAAATTTCATATGTATATGCATGTGGAGAAGCAGAGTATATAGGGTATAGTACTACCCAGTTTCAGGCATATACAAGGGATCCAGTAACCATATGTAACCAAACTATCCCTGTAGTAGGAAGCAGCCTTCCTTCCCCACTCCCAGTCTCTCTCCTGTGATTTTCTATTTTCCTCCTAAAATTTCTTATTAGCATCATTATCTGAATATATTGCTGTATGATAGATACTATCTGCCTATCGTCACTGTAACAAGACCTTTTGAAGACACTGACTACATATAAACTCTGTATCCAAAGTGTCTGGAAAATAGGATGTGGATGAGCCAAAAACATTTTATTAAATTTATTTAATTGGTTTTGAGACTCTGCTCTAATTTCAGTTCTTCAGACTTTCAAATAACATAGAATGTACCATATTTAATTGTTGGCATCATTATTCACTGAATAACAAGCTTTCCCATTACAGAAGGTAAGAGTCCATTGTCTATTATGTTCACTTTCTTTCCCCAACCAGCCTAAAACAGTTTGATAAAACTGGATGGTAGGATTTAAACTACATGCATATGTGCATCTCTACAACAGGAAGAGTAAAGACAGAAGACAGAGAGTAAACACATTAAAAACTACCTATGTTCCTAATTATGACACTTAATTTCTTCAAAACACACTTATTAAACAATCCTGAAAACCTTCACTACCCTAGCAGGCTTCCTTTTCCCCTTGCATTCTAACTGCCCACTGTGTCTTCAGATATACTCAGGATGACAAACTCAAAATCTATCCTACCAGAACATAAAATTATTGCTTCACATAACCTAGCATTTTAAGAAATAAGTGCACGATATACACTTGAATTATTGAAACCAAGTTCACAACAGATCTTACACATCTTAACCACAATTTATAAACTTGAGAAGCTAAGGGTTGGCAAGATGTAAAAAAAGCTCCTGTTGCCAAGCCTTATGAGCCAAGTTCACTTCTCTGGTCCCACATGATGGAAAGAGAGAAGCATTTTGTCCTTTGATCTCCCACACGTGTGCAAGTATATTTACTCTCTCTCTCTCTCTCACACACACACACATACACACAAATACAAGGTTGTTTTAAGTAGCTAAATATTCATTCAAATTATTATGCTGTCACTATAACAAAAATCCTGAAGTTTTTTGGAAAATAGCATTATTTATATATTATAAGCAATACTTAATAACACAAATTAGTAAATATTTAAAATTCTAATTAACAAAAAAATACAAATTATCAATCTCCAAATAATACTAGGGTGAAAAAGGAGCAGCTGAAAACTGTAAACAATCACATCTCAAACCACAACAACTGAAAGTTGTAAATGTTACAAAGCCTGGTACTTTAGAAGCAGATGAGAAAGTTAACTGAGTAGACTAAGCTGAATTCTCAGTGAAGAGAAAGCAAAATACATTGAAATCACGGCAGAGGCAGAGGAACTGACACTCAAGCTCCTGGACATCTGGAGAAGCTGCAAATTCCTCTTGTCACACTGAAGAGTTTTTAAAAATCAGATTCCCACAAAAAGAAAAAACAACAACAATAATATAGAAAAACATCGTAAAGATAACAGCACATAAACAAATCTGCAATCCTATGGAAAAGCCTACAGTTGCTAAGTTTTTATCACAATGACGTGATGTGGGAGTGTCTTCTATCTATCAAATGAAATTTGTGTTGCTTTCATTGGTTAGTTAATAAAGAAACTGCTTGGCCTGATAGGTCAGAACACAGGTGGGTGGAGTAGACAAAACAGAATGCTGGGAAGAAGGGAAGTGAGGCAGACGCTAAAGCTCTCCTCTCCAAGATGGACGTAGGTTAAGATCTTTTCCAGTAAGCCACCACCTCGTGGTGCTACACAGATTATTAGAAATGGGTAATCAAGATGTGAGAATTAGCCAGTAAGAGGCTAGAGCTAATGGGCCAAGCAGTGTTTAAAAGAATACAGTTTCCATCTAATTATTTTGGGTAAAGCTAGCCGGTGGCCGGGAGTGCTCCCAGGCAGCGGGAAGGGGCCTGCTGCTCCATCTACATTGAGGGAACTTCCAAAAGACTGTAGGGTCAACTATTACTGAATGACTAAAAAGAATAAAACAATCAAATAACATCTGAGAAAAGTCTAAGTCAGAAGCTGAAAACAACAAAGCTAAAAAATTAACAGAAAGGAAAGAGACTATGTAGAAAAAGAAAACATCAGAAAAAAACATTAAAAATAAGTCTACTATTCAAATCCTCTGAAAGATGGGGTTAAAGAAAAGACTGAAAAACAAAGTAAAATGAAAACCTTCTTGGAATTTAAAAACTTAACAGCAAAAACAAAAATCTAAGTAGAAAAATAACTATCAAAAAGAAACCTCCTAAAAAGATGAGATGGAAAATTAGGGCAAAACCCGAGAATACAGGATTACTGCAGTGATATAGGATTCCCCCCGGTATGCTACTAATATGTTTTATTGCCACTGGTTAATAAAGAAGCTGCTTTCGGCCAATGGCTTAACAGTAAATCCAGGCAAAAAATCTGAACAGAGATGTAAAAAGAGAGTAAGCAAAGTCAAAAAGACAACATGTAGTTGCCAAAGGAGAAAAACGCTCACCAGAACCTGTTGGAACCTTGCCAGTAGGCCACGACCTCATGGTGATGCACAGATGAATAGAGATGGGTTGATTAAAGATGTAAGAGTTAGCTAGGAATATGCATAAGCTAGTAGGCCAACCAGTGTTTTAACTAATATAGTTTCTGTGTGATCATTTTGGGTCTGGGCAGGCAGGAAACAAACAAGCAGCCTCAGCTTACAGTGAAGTGCATCAGTAAGAGATAAAAAAGAAAAGCAGAAAAAAAATAATACAAAAAAGGTTTTCAGATATGAAGCCCAGGTGTTTGAAAACTAAAAGGAAGCAGGCCACGTTCCCATATATACGTAAGTTCACGTTGTATGACATGGTTAGAAAACTATTTTTAAGAAAATGTTACAAACTACACATGGTGACAAGCATCAGTACTCTGGGGATTTTGAAGCCTGAAGCAAGAAGATGGCCAGTGTGAGGTTAGCTTGAGCTATTCAGAGAAACCCTATCTCAACAGAAAATAAAACCAATCATAAAATGAAAGAAAAGTAAGAGAAAAGGAGAGATTGTGGTTGATTTTTTTTTCCTAATGGTCACTTTCTCCTACTCCTTGTCCCAGATTATATAATTACCAGATTTTTGCACTTAACTAAGTAGTTTTTATACCTAAAGATTCATCTTTTAGTTGTCACAGGGAAAAAAATAAAGCAAAACAACAAAGCCAGGCAGATATAGTCATACATGCCTGTAATCCTATAGCACTTTGGGGCAGAACACAAGGTTTATATACTTAAAGCCAGAGTGTTCTACCTAGCAAGAAATTCTAGGGCATCCTACATTACACACCTAGACTCATTTTCAACACAAAACAAGAGAGCCAATAAAAACTATTCACATCAAGATATATAAAAGGTTATTACTTCCCAAACAGAAAATGTTGATAACCACTGATGATAAAGGTATCTAGAGGTTGCTTTGTGCCACAGTTGTTGGCAAAACTTCTGTAACATAAAAGGGAATGATGCCTTCAAAAGGCTGCTGGGATGTTCCTCACTTGACTTTGACTTCCTTTGTGGTAGACAGGAAGAGAACTTAAACTGTGACTCTCCAGCAGTCTATCCCTTGGCCCAGTCACCACTGAGGGCAACCATGCTCGTTTCACACCTATACTACTTAATACATCAACCCCCTTCTGACCTTTTACCTCTCTTAGAGTCCACTCAGCTGCCATTTCTTTCCTAAATACTGATCTGCACAATATCTACTGCTCTTGAGCTTTCTAATGGCTGCCGACTACTCACCAGAATGTGCACAATGGCTTAAATAAAGGTCTTTTTACATGGCTTTATTTCCACCATTTCCTACAGACCACAATATGACCAAAGAGAGAGGGGTGTCTGACTAATTAAACTCACTGAAACTAATCATCCCTAAATCAAGATTTCTAATAGATTTACTAGCATTTAAGCACTTGATCAAGACAAGAAAACCACTGGACAATAACCATAAAACTCATTCAGAATGACTCAATCAATCAGAAACAGAAAAAAAAAATGACTTCCTCTCAAACAATCAAAAGGAACTAAAAAATTCGACAGCCTATATGTAAAATATATCTACAACTTTCAAGAGAAGACAGCCCTAGTAGTTTCTTATTAAGCTCACTGTTTACAAATCTGAGATTAAAAAAAAACTATGTACAAGTTGATGGTTTATAATGATAGTTCTCATTCCTCTTATGGGGGGAAAAAAAACCAATGAAATGAACCAGCTCATTAATTTGCACTAATTATCTACCACAAAATATTCAGTGACAGAGCAGACATCTAAAAAGTTGATGACCATTTAAAATAAATATTACCAAGCACTTTCAAAATATTAACAACAGAACAAGAACCAAATTCTTACCTGTTAGGATGCAAATTAAAGTCTCTATACAGAACTGTGTCCAGACAGCGGCTATATCTGCAGATACAGCACATGCATTGCATAAGGCAGCATTTTGGTGTCCCCGAAAAGGGCACAGCATTCTATATCCAGACCACAAAAGGTCCCTGAGGTATACAACCCAAACGAATCCCAGTGCCATCAGACATAGGAATTAAAGCTAAGAGGAGGAGACTACCCAGCCAAATCTCAGGAAGAGCAGCAATGGAAGTGTATTCTTTGGACCCACTTGGAGGAACCAGAAGTCAGATCTGATGTCACACGATCCTATCAGCCTTGTCACTCACGTGAACCTATGCCTTCTAAGTATTTTAAAACTCAGAAGCTCTGTTTGAATTTTAAGAGGATCTCAGAGAACATCTGAAATTCTTGAAAACAACTTAACTATGAGCTATTAATCAGCAATGACTTCTATGTCAGAGAATAAACAGCATCCCTTCTTTAAGAACTAGGAAAACGAAAATTTCCAATTTTGCTAAGGATAAGAGTATGATGCACAATAAGCGCTGAACCTGCGGCCATGACCTTCATATTCTACAAATATGTACTATCCTTAGGTCACAACATACAGTAAACAAGTTTTGCTTGGCGTTGTTAGTATAAAAGGCTATAAATTCACATGCTTGCAAAAGTAGAGTAAACAACAATCAACACATGTGTAAGTCACCAGGAAGCTGAAGGTTTGGAAAAAAGGTAGCCATTTCCACTTTAATTTTCTCCCTTGAACAGTGGTATGGAGCAGACTGGAGAACAAAAATGAGAGCAACCAAGGATAATTTACTAAAATTCACCTTAAAAAGATTGAATCTGTCATCTTGGATCTCTGCACCTGGTGTAACTTCCATAGTACAGTCTTCGGCCTAAGTTAAATAACATATTCCCCATTAAGATACCACACAATCTTTAATTGATAGGCCACATAAAGACAAACTAGCAGTGGCTAGTCTGCGATTTGAACTAAGAACATATAATAATCATTAACATGGAACTGAAAGGGAAGCAAGGGGAAATAAACAAACATGGTCAAGACAACAAAAAAATTAAACTGTCATACAGCATTTAATCGCCTTTTTAGGGGGAAAGCGACTCAAATATTTGGGGAGTCATATTGGGACAGTAAAAGAGGCAGGGTAACTCTGGAAGATTTACTATTACCGTAATCTTATTGGTTGTTGAAGTAACTGGTATAACTTCAAGTCCCATTCGGATCCTCTTTTGTTTTTCACAGTAAGCTTTCCAAGTATCTTCATTAAAGCCGTAATTAAAATAATCAGAGAGATCAGCACCTAAAGATAAAATATACTTTTAGGGCACAAAACTACAGTATGATACAAAATTGTAAATTTAAAACTATGGCAGCATCAAAACTATAGTGTGGTACAAAAATGTAAATTTAAAGATACGAAAAATAGAAGGTAAGAAACTTTGAAGAGGAAGGGTATTAGTGGGAACTGGAGGGAGTCAAAGAGGATGAAGTAGTGGACATGCTTGAAAGACTAATGTGAAAATGGTCACAATGAAATCCATCATTATTAATAATATATGTTAAGAGAATTATTCATATAACATATGCATATTTTTATGACACTAGTCTTAGCATCCTTTGAACTTTTACTAGCTCTCAAAACTACCACAATGAAGCAAAGACTGAAAAACATTTTGATCAAAACGATTTCCTTTAGAAATGGCATTATAATAAATAATGTATGAGTCCACATTTATATTAATTCCAGTGACTAATGAGATTTAATAATTCAAGTACTTAGTATTCATTATTTGCTTAGGACAATAAAAAGACACTGTAAAAGGCAGTATTTTCTATTACTGTTCAAAAATATTTTTTGAACATTTTACAACTAATTAATTAATTAAATCCCAAATAATCTTACCAGGTTTCCGCCATGGTTTATCTTCAAAAGAATCCAAATCTACTTCCAAGAGTGGCACTCCATTAATGCTGCCAGGTGCATCAAGGTCTACCCCTTTGACTTTGGTTCCTAGTTTACAGAAATGAAAAATGGCAAAGAAGCTACATTATCAAAAAGCTAGAAAGCAAAGAAACAAAAATGTCCCTTTACCATCCATCCTGACCACTGATAAAACTGCATAAAGTCAAACCTTGTGATGAAACTTAGGATGAACAAGATGACAAGGTTAGGGACTGAGACATTACGGCCTAGCAGGGCAGCACATGCCGAACATCTCTGCACTTGGGAAATGAAGACAGGAGGACTAGGAATTCAAGGCAAACTGTGGGTACACAGATAGGTAAAGGATAGCCTGGGCTACATGAGATTCTGTCTCAGGAAACAAAAACAAAAGACTACTACATCAATGGAGTTGCTATCGGCCATGTGTTAAAATGCTGTTTATATAATTTGTGAGCAAAGAAAAGTTTCTCTTAAAGGGTTCGAAAACAAGCAAAGTAGCACAGCCACAACAGGCCGAATGCCTGCTGTCTGAGTTGTCTTTCAGAGTCTGCTTATATGTGTCAGATGGCAGTCAAACATTACTCATGAAAAGAACTGAGACATTCTATTCAGAATCTATTTGAGATAGTATGCCATATCTTCACACTTATGCAGCTACAAAGACAAAGTTTACCTGTATTTCCATACACTCTTCCCCCTGCCTTGATATTAAGATTTACTGGCGCTGTTCCGTAACTCCTAAAAATAGAATAAAAAATAACCTCAAAAACATACAATAACAATAGGAAGATATCAATGTGTTATAAACCCACATAGTGAGTGAATGAATTGGCACTCACAAATAAAGTTTATTTAGTTAATACAGGATAAAGAATTTTTTTAGATTATTTTATGTGTATGACTATTTTGCCTACATGTATGTACATCACTAGAGTGCTTGATGCCCAAAGAAGTCAGAAGAGAGCACTGGATCCCCTGAACTGAAGTTATGGATTGTTCTCAGTGCTGGGAATTGAACCCACATCCTCTGCAATAAATGCTAAGCCATCTCTCCAGTCCCAAGAACTAATTTTTTAAATAAGGCCTACCATTTTTACCATCTCAAATATTTTTTTAAATGTCATCTTTCCATCCCAAAAGCCTCCCAGCTACTCTCAATATGCCACTGTAGCAAAAATCATAAGAAACCCCTTTGCTGTTACCTCCCAGTTCCTCAACATCTCGAAATCCTGCAGCCCTGAAAGCTCCTTCCTTGACACATTGCCAAATCCCACGACCCCACTTTAGGCTTTCTCAAATTTTATATTACCAACCAAACCTCTTTACAATACACACGGAGCATTTCATTCCATTCATAAAAATGAATTCACTTAGAAGAAAGGTGACTGTAAGGAGGGAGAGGTGAACAGTGTTAACGGGAGGTTAGTAATTAAAGGGGAGGAGGAACAACCTCCAGGACAGCTGCAGTGCTCCACATCTTTGTCTGGGCTGTGACTACAGGAATACAGATATTTATGTGGCAAATAACTGGTTAAACCAAACTAGGTCACACACAACTAGTTGCGTAAATTTGGGCAAGTCCCCTTAGCTGCTATGAACTTTATATAATTTTCTTTAAACATGAGTTTACTGCTAGGCACAGTGGTGCACACCTTTAGTACCAGCACTTAGAGGGGGTAAAGGTATCCACTTAGGTGGATCTCTGTGAGTTTGAGCATGGTCTACAAAAAGAGTTCCAGGACAGCCAGAATTACACAGGGAGTCCCTTGTCTCAAAAACAACAACAACAACAACAACAAAAGAATACCATTTTTTAATGAGTAGAAAAATAAAAATCAAGAATTAGTGCTAACTGAAATGGTTTTCAACACTGTTGGGGGCTAAAGAAAAAGGGATTCTGGGGACCAGGGAAGAATGATTTGTATTGAACAGAAAGACATTAGTAAGCTTTCAGATCATATTCAAGACTTTCAAAGATTTATGTTTCATATCATATTCATGCTACTTAATTTGGCTCGTTTTCCTTAGAATTTAAGCTAACCAGACCTATGATGAATCCTACTTTTATTCTGCCCAATAACTTTGTCGGCTGTGGTGTGTGAAGGAGTACTTGCCTAGCATGTACAAAAAAGGTTGAGTTCAAGATCTACCATAGCCAAATTAAATAGGTATTGTTTATATGTTTTATCTTTGATGAAGTCCAAAAAAAACTTAAGATTTTAGAAATATGAAGAAAGTATCTTAACACAGCAAAGTAGCATGACATAAAACACACGGCCGACATCATATGGGATTATTCCACTAAAGTCAGAAATCAAACATACTTGTGCTTACGCATTATAGGGCTTAAAGTTTTGCTTCAGAAAAGGGATAGAAAGTGGAAGGAGGAAGCCAAACTATCTCCATTAGCAAATAATATTATTATACTTGTGGACAACCTTCCATGATGTACCAGAAAATTCAGTAGCCAGAAAATACTATATATATGTGAAGATGTCAGGGAACAAAATGAATATTAATTTTTTAAAAATAAGTATCACCCCTAAAGAAATCAGGAAATCAATCCAAATCCAATAACAAATAAAGGAAAAAGAAAAACTAAGACGTGAAAGACCTTTTCAAGAAAAATTTCATCGTGAAATGGCAATATTTCCGACAGCAATCTATAGATTTGATTTAATACAATCCCTTCAAAATAAGTGACATTCTTCACCAAAGAAAAACTCTAAAATTCATAGGGAAGCAAGAAGGATCTCACTGCAATCCCAAATAAGAACAATGCCAAAGACATCACCATACCTGACGGAAATACTACAGTGCCAAGAATACCACCATCACCAATGGCAATACTACACGGCCAGGAAAATTACCATACCCGACAGTAATACTACAGAGTCGTAACAAAAACAGGCATTAAATCAATGGAACAGAGGACTCAGGAATAATCTCACACAACTATAGTCACCTGAGCTTCAACAAAGACGTCAACACTACAACAAATGATGTTAGAGAAACTGAATGTATACCTATAGAAGAGTAAACTAAATCTTTATACCTCACCCTGAATAAAAAAAAAGTCAATCAATCTGGTCAAAGACCTTACTATAAAACTTAAAATTCTCAAACAGCTCTGCTATGGAAAACAAGTGGCACTAAGAGGCCACCAAGTTCTCAATTGGAATTACATGAAATTCAAACTCTTTCAAATACAGCTCAGTGGAGACAGTCTACAACACATCTGCCAGAGAATTAATGTACAGAATATATAAAGAACTCAAAGCAAGCAAATACCAAAAACCCATACAACCTAACCCATACATGGAACAATGAAACAGTGAACAATCAACAGTCCTTACAGCCAACAAACATCCTGGCTATCAGGGACAGCACTGAGATTCCACTTCATCCCATTCAAAATGATGAATGATCATCTTAAAAACAAACAAACTCCCAAAGATAAGGAAAAAGTAAGTTTCAGTAGCCCTACAGTTAAAAGTAAGTTTCAGTAGCCCCACAGCTAATTTAAAAAAAAAAAAAACAACAACCCCAAAACACTTAATTCTACCATGATAACAAAACCACAATCCATTTTAATGTGTTTTCTTCCAATCCCTTAAGATTCCTTCGTGTTCACTGAGTTGGCAATAATCCATTAACTTGTTCCAGCTCATGGAACATAAATCTTGCTACCAACACACTGGTCTAAAAGGCCAAGAAAAATACATTAGTTTGTATTCGATATAAAAAGACCTAAACTAAGGTTTTGTATAATAAAATGAAAGAATGACAAAAATGCAAATGACAATTTAGGTGTTCCATTTTTAACAAAGAACTAATTCTAGCCACTTCTCTAGCAAAAATGTTTTAAATGCAGCAATCAGACATGGCTGTTTCCACAGACAGAATTAACAGTAGGCAGAAAGTAATTAACCACCTGTAAACTGTAGCAAGTTCTTTTGTATCAGGGTAAGACGGAAAACATAGTATCAATAGAATCAACCAAGGAGGAACTAAGCATGGTATCTTCACAAGGCAGCATTCATTCAAGTATAACTTAGGGCTGCCAAGGTGGCTCAGAGAGTAAAGGCACCTGTAGCCAAGCCCCAACAACCTGAGTGGGAAACACAGAAGTGACTTATAGAGAGTCCTCAGCCCTACACATGCAAACCATGGCACAAATGACCCCCTGCCAAATAAGGTAAAAATAACTTACCCATACTGTGGTGCTCCAGTTTTAATGTCTCCTATAGTGACATGAACATCATCCTCATCATCGTCACTGTCACTGTCACTATCATCTTCTGTCTCAGTCACTTTCTAGACCAGCAAAACAATTACAAAATCCATTCAATAACCCAACTCAGCATTTAATATTAACGAATAAAAAATTATTATTCTGTATTTTTTGAAATTGTTTTAGAGTAAAAATTACAAGCTTATAAAATTGTTATCCCAATTCTGATGGTCTATAATAATTGACCTTATGAAAGATAAATAGGCCAGGCGGTGGTGGCACACACCTTTAACTCCAGCACTTGGGAGGCAAAGGCAGGCAGATCTCTTTGAGTTCGAGGCCAGCTGGTCTACAGAGCAAGTTCCAGGGCAGGCTTCAAAGCTACAGAGAAACCCTATCTCAAAACTCCCTCCACTCCCTCCCCACCAAAAAGATAAATAGAACTTTTATTGCCCTCTTTCAGAGAATACAAGCTTCATATTTTTAACGCTGTTAACTATTTGGTAATTTTTAATACTGACATTGAATCTCATAAATGTTTTACTCATAAGAATTTCTCAAGCACTTATTTTTAAGTAATTCTATCTTATAGAAACTACATTTCCTTAGATTCATTTTGTAAGGTCATCAACTACAACAGGAAGAGACTATATGCAAATGATTGTATGCAGCATTATGTATCTTTTCAAATAAAATGGATCTGCTTACCGTGGTGTTAGTATGGATCTAAAAGGTTGTTATATTTTAGTTACAAAGTAGTAGACAATCATATCACCTAGGCAAATGCTTTCCTGGTTATAAGTTTAAGTTTGAAAAAAAAAAACCTACAAATTTCCTTCTGCATTCAGAATTAAAATGTACAACCCTCAGAGGGCAGCAAGTACCATGTCAATAGCCACAGAGGCAGGAGTATAGCCTAGAGAACATTCCTAAGAAACTGTAAGTCCAGATTGCGGACTCATCTTCTGCTTTGCAAGTCAGGCTTACTCATCCGTGATCTACACCTCTTTAGTGATTTGAAAACAATGAACAGAAAGCCTTTCCTCCTGCTGTGTCCCCTGAAGTGTCCTCCCTGTAGTTTTTCTCCTCACTAACTCTACATATTCTTTTGATATCAGATGGAGTAGTTGACAGAAGATGGGGTCAAGTCAATCAGGATGCTGAAGGTTATGCTAAATGTTGGTTTTATCTGTAAATAAACTAAAGTTCTTTCAAAGATTTTAAACATCAGAGTAACTGGATATCAAAGCCTGATATGTATGTTACCGGTTTTGACACGCCATTTTCAGCAGCTTCCTCTTCAATTCCAGCTGGAGGATTCGCACTGCAACAAAAGGAAGGAGCGGACAGGTTGGATGCTGCTGCTTCAAGCACAGCTCACACTACAGTTTCTCTGAGAAGATTTGCTAAAGCTATTATCTCCAACTGGACGATGAAAACAAGACCTGTAAATCTGTCTGGTTTTCCTGTTAGTGTGCATAGAACAAGTATTCAGATGGAAGCAAGAGTGGGGCTTTCTTGATTTTTGGAGAGACTCCTTGAACTCACCACGTAGACCACCAAGCTGGCCTCAAACACAAGAGATCAGCTTACCTCTGCCTCCTAAATGCTGGGATTAAGGTCCCCACCACTACTCTCTGCCCAACAATTTCTTAATGACATACAATTTGATGGTTGGACACAGTTTAAGTTAACACTGCGCATTTATCACTTTATTAAGTATCTGCTGTGTGCAAGGACTATAAAATAGTCAAAGACTACACAATACAGTTTCACTTCTCCCTATGCCCATGAAATCCTATAAGATCATAATTCTTTCAGTGCTCAGTTAGCACACACGCTTCCTCCTGCTCTGCTGTTCCACACCTTATCAAATACGTCTTTTATTCTATTGAAAACAAAATTTCAAGAGTAAAAAAATTATCTTCATGGAAGACTACCCTCTAGTTTGCAGTAATAAGGAGCTCTAGGGCCAATTTTGATGAATTCTAAAACTAATCACTTTTAGAAGGCGAATTTGACCTGTTGTTTTACAACAAAAATTGTGTCATTTAACAAGAAGACATTCACATTGCCATGAGACTCAACTAACTAAAAATAATACTTCCAGAACTGTTTCTTAACAGTAGGCTTTAACTATTTTACAAAGTAAAATGCTTAGATTTTGACAAATTCAATGTTTTTTTCATTGTCATGCCTATCTCCCCTAAGCTTCACTCCTCTAATACTCCTTAGAGACAATTTAGAACAACATGCCTAAATTAAGTAAATTAGGAAAGAAACTGAAAACGTCAGCGTTTCCTGTCCTAACACAGGACAAGATAAATATTCTACTACAATTCTTTTTTTTTAAAATATTTATTTATTATGTATACAATATTCTGTCTGTATGTCTGCAGGCCAGAAGAGGGCACCAGACCTCATTACAGATGGTTGTGAGCCACCATGTGGTTGCTGGGAATTGAACTCAGGACCTTTGGAATGCTCTTAACCACTGAGCCATCTCTCCAGCCCATAACTACAATTCTTAATCTAATGATTTGCATAAATAAACTCTAGAGAGCCAGAAACAAGTTTTGTTCACTTGTTTGCATGCACGTAGGGGACCGGACCCTCAGCGTGCTTTTCATTTCACGGGGCAGTACACTGTGCTCAGCTAAGACCTGGCCACTTGCAGGACAGCGCTGGAATCAGTGTAATGCAATGCTCAAGGACAGGGGCCTCAGCAATGAACCAGGCACAAGGAAAATGGGCAAATTCAACAGCAGGGACCTAGGCAGGTTAGTGCAAGGATGTACCAAGCTGCCTCCCAGCTTTACCTAAACCCCTTTCTCCGTTAGACATAATCCTTTAGAACTTTCAACTCCTTATCACAATTAAAACATAATTCTAAATAATGCTAAAATTATAATATTTTTCTGAAAAAGTAAAAATTTAAAGACAAATGCCCTTCCATGGGATGAGACACACAAAGCTCTTCAAATGAAATTAACAACACATATAGGCAATAGTACTCGAAGAAGGCAGAACTGGATAAACTCCAATGAACTTTCACGCTGTGTCCCAGAGAATTCAAGAAAGTTCAACGAGAAAATGAACTTCGAAGAAGGAGAGGTGACTCAGTGTTTCAGTGCCTTCCCAGGGCCTAGGTTTGAGTCCCAACACCCACATGGCAGCTCACAACCATCTGAACGGCAGCCCCAGGGGAACCAACATCTTTTATCTTCCACCAGACATAAACATGGTACATGGACATACATGCATGGAAAACACCAATACACACAAAATTAAAAAACAAACAAACAAACACTGATCAAAGTGAACTTAGAATTGTAGTTAAATAATAAAACCAATATAAAGATTAGCCCATAAAAATTGTGTATTTGATTATAATTCTACCCTGTAATCAGCTTCTTGACACTTAATGAAATGAATATGCAAAAAAAATTTTTTTGGAGGGGGGTTCGAGACAGGAGTTTGCTGTGTAGCTCTGGCTGTCCTGCAACTTTTAGGTTGGCTTCTAACTCACAGAGATCCACCTGTCACTGCCACCCGAGTGCTGGGATTAAAGGTCTAAGCCACTACCACCAGGCCATTTAATTACTTTTAAAAACTATACATCCCTACCAATGTTTTAAGAAAGTAAATTTAATACAAAACTCCAAACATATATGATTTAGTTTCAGATAATACAGCAAAGCGTGGCGGAAAAGGGCGTATATGGAAGGACACTGCTTATCTTGGCTCTGCTGGCGCCATTTCTACTTTCGCTCCTTGTTTCCCTGCAGCCGCCTTGTGGGCTTTAGCTCTTTTTATTTTTTGGATGCAAAAGAATAGATTTCTGACAATGTTCATTTTGGAGACTTCGTTAAGACATAACTCACATCCGCTCATTTAAAGACTACACTTACAGGGGTGTATTTTGTTCAGTGTAACCTTTATGTTATCAAATCCTAGAATATGTTACACAGACCCCTAAAAGAAATCTGTGTCACCAGTCACCCCATTTTCTCCTATCCCACAATGCCGATCTTTCTGTCTCTATGGATTTGCTTGCTCTGGATACTTTATATACTGAATCATACATGTCCTTTGGAAGCTGCTTCTTTCCTATAACACATTCTTAATGTGTTCACCCATGTTGTAGCAAGTCAGCACTTTATTTCCTTTCACCATGAAATATCCTCATTAGAGTACTTTGCATAGAATCTCTAATTTGTATGTTGGTGGAAAGGTGTGTTACTTCCATTTTCCTGACTAGCTATGATTAATGCTAAGAACACTGATGTTCAAGTTCTCACATTCACGTATGTTTTCACTTCTCTAAGTTAAAGTGAGCAGAACTGCTGAACTTGTGATAATGGTTTAGCCCTGTGGAGGCTAGAGGGCACACCACTGAACAGTAGCATCAGCAATATTTAACTGGTCTGGTTTCTCCACACCCTTACTGTCCCTGTTCTACCTTTTGGATTATCCTGCTAGGTAGGAAGTATTATTCCCTCCACTTCGAAAATAAAAATATTCTTTGTGTGTGTGACCCATGTGTGTATGAGTTTGAGATTGCACCTGTGCATGCCATGTGGTGGCCCAAAATCATCAATTTGTTTCTCTTCTTTTTTGAGAGTCTCTCATTGAACCTGGTGCTCACCAGTATAGAGAGGATGGACAGTGAGTATTGGAGATTCTGTTATCTAAATCTCTCCTAGGATAGACTCATTTGTGTTCACAAGCTTATGACGCATGCATTTCACCAACTGAGACACTTCTCCAGCCCTTGACTGCTCTGTTTAAAACACTCCTTCCCAGCCTGGAGAGATGGCTCAGCCCTTAAGAGAACTGGCTGTTCTTCCCAGAGGACCTAGGTTCAATTCCCAGCACCCACGCATGGCAGCTCATAACTGTCTCTAACTCCAGTTCCAGGGTACCTGACACACTCATGCAGGCAAAACACCAAATGCACATTAATTAAAGACAGAAAAAAAAATCCTCCCCTCATTATTCCAAACAATCCTCTGATCAAAAAGTAAAGCCAATTTAGACATGTACTTATATGCATGAGTTATACTGAATTTTTGTGTGAATGTTTGGTTCCCTAGACACACTCCATAAAATACAAAGTTTTATATAACAAAAGAAATCAACTTATATTTTAAAAATCATCTATTCTGTCCATGGTATAGAAGAAAGCATGATTCCCTTCCAAAATTAGTTCCATTATGAATTAAAAAAAAATAAAAAGAACTAAAATTACAGCCAAGCCACACATAGTGACTTAAATCCTAACACTCAGGAGGCAATTAGGCATACTACATCTATGGGTTCAAGGCCAGCCTTGTCTGCAAACAGCTTTGTCTACAAAGGGATTTCTGGGCCACACAGTAAGGGCCATCTCATAAAAAGAAATTACACCAAAAGCAAAAGATAAAACAAGTAATAAATTATCAAAGCAATAATTTTCAGCTACTATTTTTTTCTCAGTAATTCAGCAGCATTCAGTCAGGAGTGGTGGCGCCCGCTTTTAATACCAGCACTCAAGAGGCAGAGGCAGACAGATCTCCAAGGTCAAGGCCAGCCTGGTCTACAAATCAAGTTCCAAAGTCAGGGCTACACAGACTACACAGATAAACCTTGTCTGGGGGCGGAAAAACCAAAACAATCAAATACCCAAAGACCAACTATATTATATACTCCACTACTAAGTTCAATAGTTACTCAATGGTGGAAAGGTGACAAACGCCTAACTCCATAAACTGTCTTATAAACTACTAGACACCAACACAGAATTAATTGGTCCTGAAATAGAAAGAGTCCTCCAAACTTTGGTCAAAATGTAATTAAGCCAAAAACGATAATGAAACAGTTGACAACTTGCTAGAATCACAGTCCACATAAAACATCAACAGGAAAGTTCACCAACCTGGCATTTTCTTCTTCTGGCCTTTCAACTTCATTTTCATCTACCAAATAAAATAATAAAATAAAGTAAATGAAGAAATCAGGCTAAAAGCAACAAGTATTATAAAAATCTGAAGGGAACAAGCACTAACCTAGATCCTTTGTCAAATCACTGTGCACATGCACGTCCCAGGGGCCTACAAGCATAGCCAAAGTTAGGTCACTTTATAGACAACATACACCCATTATGGAAGAAAAAAAAAATCAAGACTTCACTGCTATATAAGCTTAATTAAAGAGGTAATGAGGATTTACACATTTGGTAGGAGAAACCCCATACATGTCACATGTCAAGGGTAATACTGATGCTGACTCTTTGCATTAAAGAAACAGTCAATTTCCCAAGTTTATCAAAGTTGCATCACTAAAAGGTTGCCTAGATTCCAACGTGCACCTTTATATAATATTCTAACACAGTCAAGCACTTATGGTCTAGGCAAGAACAAAATACTTTCAAATCTGGTCTAACAAACAAGGGGGAGTACGACTTAAAGCCAGACATAGAACATGTCCCCTACAAAAGCAAAGTACATGATGCATTCAAGTTAGGCACACAGAAATGCATGACTGAAAACAAGCCTACGGGAAGAGTCATGGGGTACAACTATGACGTGGACTATATAGAACAATCTCTTTTTAAAAAAAAATGAAAAGCTTCACCTTAATACAGGAGACAATTCAGGGTTCTCTTTATGGACCATAGTGTATTCCATCTGCCTCTCTTAATTAATATTTTTAAAGCACGACTTTCAGACAAGGAGGTACCCTTGCAGGTGCATTCCATACAAACTGACCATCAAGAAACAAGACGTTAGTTTTATAGCATTAACTTTATTTAGCTGTAATTACAGAATGACTGTTTCTGAAAGAAAGGGACGAGAAAGGGCACCCAACAACCACCGAGCAAGAGACACCCCGAAGCAGCTCAGGATCGACAGAAAGGGCATGAATAGAGAGAGCGCAGAAGCGAGGAGGCCGGGACGGTGGGGAGGAGGGCGAAGCGGGGCTGCCCGGCCTCCTTGGCCCGCGTCCACCGCGCGGTGAGAGGCTGCGGGTCCGGGCGAGGGCCGGGAGGAGCAGGCCGCGCTCGGCCTAACTCAGGCCGGCCAGGGCTAGGACGAGAGGCCCCGGACGCCCGGACCTGCGACGCCGGGAGGAAGGCCAGAGAGAACCCGGGAGACAGACAGGAAGTTCCGTACCGCCATACAGCCACTCTTCCTCCTCATCCCCTCCGGTCCCGCTGCTCAACTCCACCAGGCGCTCCACCTCGCCGGCCGACATGGCCGCCCCACGCACAAGTTAAAGGAGGCGATCAACAGCCCCTTTCAACCCCTTCCCCAGCCTCGCCGTCCCGGGGCGCGAGAAGGGGAGCGAACCCGCCGGCAAGCGAACGAAGAGAGCGCGAGCCCCAAATCCAAGGCCAGCCTCGGTGGAGGCAGCCACCACCACGAACAGCCAGGCGCAGGGCCGCCCGCGCACGCGCAGAAGCACCCAAGCCTCGCGGCGTCTCTAGGCGGCTTCTCTTCCGCAGCGGCCGGCACCTGAGCCCCATTGCGCAGGCGCATCGCGCTTGGCTCCTCCCCGCCCCCATCCATAGTATTCCGGCTTTGCTTTTCAGAGTGGCATTTGCTCTGGCTTCTAGTGTTCTTTGAAGTTCCCTTCCCACCATCCCACTCCCCCTTCCAATCCTCAGTTTTCCATTGTTCTTTTCTGTCCTTAATGCTTTCTTCCTCCACCATGTGTTTATTTTAAAATCCTGAAAGCCACCATCCCTTACGTGTTTACTTGATACACAGCTCATACTAGTCTGCGGGTTTCTCATTTAATCTTTCTTCGGAATTTTAACAAGCTACAAAAGAAAATTCAAAATATATAAAGAATGAGTTCTCATTGTTTAAAAAGAATTAGAACTGGGCATAGTGGTGCACGCCTTTAATTCCAGCACTTGGATAGGCCGAGACAGGTAGATCTCTGAGTTCCAGGCCACCCTGGTCTACATAGTGAGTTCCAGTGTAGGCAGGGTTGAATAGAGAGACCCAAAGCTGAATAGTTTTATGTCTACTCTGCGTGGAGGGAGCCTCAGCTGAGAAAAAAAAATGCCTTCATAAAATCGGGCAGTAGACAAATCTGCCAGCATTTTCTTAATTGATTGATTAATTGATGAGGGGACGGGTCCCAACTTAATTAGTGATTGATGGGGGGGGGGTCCCAATGAATATCCACATTACCTAGATAGAACCTGTGGATTTTAATTGTTCTTAGCTTTGAACTCATTGTTGCCTTCTGTGTGCTGTTCCTCTATCAGAAATTCTTGTATTGTTTTAACTTCTAAGGACGATCTCCTTCGTAAAATCTTTCCTAAATTCAACAAATCTGTATGAAAGTCAACCCAAATATCAGGAACTCTTCAAGGCTATATAAATTGGGCAGAAAGAAAAAACAAACAAAACAAAACAACAACAACAAAAAAAACCACTTTCTTTCTTGAAGCCTGTATTCTCATGGAGGGGAAAAGCACTGAGCACAGAGACACACCTTGTTGATGAGGGTTAAGAATAACAATAGCTATAAGGAGACCCAGAGCAAAGGGAGGAGGTGTAATCCTGTGTCAAGTGGTACAGGCCCACAGTAAGATGAAGTTAAAAAAAAAAAAAAAGTGGATACCCATATGGAGACAGGAGACAGGCAGTCAAGCCCCCTGGCTTCCTGGGAAGGAGCTACTTGACTGGAAGACTGGGAACATGCAAATGGCCAGAGACAGAAGAATTGTAGGCACCCAGCTGCACTTAGAGTGAGGGGTGGACAGCAGATGAGCCCAGCAGGATTGGGAGAGAGGGAGTAGAGTAGAGCTAATGACTGCTTTAGACAAGATGCTGCTTCTAAGACTGTATCTCACATCATGAGTCAGTTATTTGACCACATAGCCAGTTTCCCCAGAACCTTCACGAGGCCAAACCTTCATCTTGTTTATCCTTCACTCCCATCTATTACATAGTGCACAATATCTTTCTGGCCTTTGCTAAAAGAAATAAAAGGTTTACTATCTGCTTGCTAGTACCATTGGCAGCCACCGTGCTCATCTCTATTTTCATTGTTTTGTGCGTTTATAATAAAAATTTGGTGGTTTCATGAGAGAGTTGATTGCCTTTGTACAGAGCAGGCTGTTTTTCCTTCCAGTCTGGAAGGAGTTTGCCTTTCAGAGTATTGTTTATACCAAACCATTGTTTAAACCAAAGAATTTATGAATGATGATGGACGCATTTGAACTGCCTGTGTAGTAGAGGTAGCACTTGAGCTAAGCTTTGAAATGATTTCTACAAGCAGAGAAGCCCATAAATCATTAATAATCATCCTTAAAAGGCCTCTTCCTTCCTCCCTCCCAAACAGAATTCCTTGTATGGATATGCTTAACCATATGGCTATGGTTTAGGTGTCTTTATCTATCCATTTGCCATGGGAAACTTCAAAGGTAAGTCCATTGACTATGTATAGACCACCTCTCATATCCTATATTATGACGTCATCATACTACAATATTTCATTTATCCTGAATATGTTTTCCACTTCATTATTAATGTGATTTATTCTTAGAAGCAGTGATAACGATGCTAATAATAGTAAACCGAGCCTGATAATACACACTTGTCCTCTCAGGTGTTCTGGAGGCTAACCTGGAGGTTCTCACAGGCTCCAAGTTATCTGCATGGGCAGCACAGTAAGACGCCATCTCAAAATAATGCCGATAATAATGATATATTTAACATGATATAGGCTCTTGAGAAGTGCTGAAAACAGATGCATAATTATAATGATTAGACAACAAATTACCATTAAGATGATGTCGAGAGGCAGGTTTGGTGTCAGATGCCTTTAAACCCATCAATCGGGAGGCAAAGGAGGGTAGCTCTCTGAGTTTCAGGACAGCCCAGGCTATGTAGAGACAGACCCCATCTAAAACAAACAAACAAACAAGATGATGCCAAGAGTTAAACTTAAATTTAAAAGTCATGTTCAGTAACTAGTATGTGGAAGTAGTACCATGTTCATACAGGTATTTTAAATAAATAAATTGCTTAGGTTTTATGTTGTTTGGGTTTTTTTTTGTTGTTGTTTGCTTGGTTTTTTGCTAATATATGTATATGTCACTTAAATAAAAACTCAGTGTTCTTTAATTTACACATCAGTAAATCCATATATTAATCAATGTTTTTATATCCACTTATTGAAAGGATAGCAGAGAAAATGGAGGTCTCAAACATGAAAACATTTGATTAGGGACTGGGGCGATGGCTCAGTGGTTACAGTAATTGCCATGTGAGTGGGAAGGCTAGAGCCCGCATGCCCAGGACCCACATTAATGTTGGCTGAACTTGTCAGTCCACCTACATATATATAATTCTAGCCTCAGGTCAGAGATCCCCAGAACAAAGTTGCTAGTAAGACTAGTCATACTGCCAAGTTCTGTTTTTGGTTGAGAGACCCTAAATCAGTGAATAAAATGGAAGAACAATTCGGAATTATTCCCAACATTGACTTCAGGCCTCCACATGCATATGCACATATATGCGCGCGCACCTACCTGAATGCACACCTGCATGGAAAATGGACAAAGAAAACAGACAGGCTGGGGTCCTTCTGTGCACTAGATAGAGGCAGGCTGGGGTCCTTCTGTGCACTAGATAGAGGCAGGCTGGGGTCCTTCTGTGCACACAGCCTTTGCTCCTTGGGCACTTTAAAAAGAACTTTTCTTTTCAAGAGACTGTTTTGAGGAATTAAGCCCCAGTTACTGCCCTACTCTCTGTATCTTAGCATCTTTTGACAAGAAGTTTTCGATTGCTACTTGTTTCTGGAACGTTGCATCGTTTCCTATTCATTTCTCTGTGGCTGTGTACCTTTGAATGATAAGAAGGAACCATTCTTATCTTTGTCTTCTCGGATCCTAGCTCCTCATGTCGTTGTGTGGGAAACCATCACTGCATCTTTTACCTAAGCTCTGACCACACCTACAGAGGATGTAGACATGACTCTTATAAAGGAAGAGACTTAATGGCCATTTCTGGATAGACGTACACATTACAGCCTACTGAGGTTAATGGGATAGTCTTAAACAGCTCATTTTGTAGAAATCTGAAATCCATCTGAGAGGAAGAATTTTTATCCCTGCTTTTTTTTTCCTATTTATCTAGCAACTGTTTTGCATAGCTAATCGGTATTTCAAGCTCATGCCCACAGTAGAGCTAATGTAACGTCCTTTCAAACTTACTCTCTCCCTTCTCACACTTTCCCGGGTTGTATACATCTTACTGTTAGTAACCATGTCCAGTTTATCAACTCAACACCCTCAAACTTCTGAGTCCCCCTTCCTCTCAGTTATGCTCTGCATGTGATGCATGAGTAATAAAATCTCAGAGAGAGAAATCCGAAAAGCAAAACAGCCAGCCACTGGCTCTTACCTTGACGTCAGTCCGAAATGGTGATCCTGCTTCTAGGAATCCTCAGAAAGAGACTGTACCTGAGAGCTGTCTTTTCCCATTTTAAAATCCTCTCTAGAGCTGGGATTAAAAACATGCACCACCTGGTTTCTATGGCAACTAGTATGGCTACTGGGAATAAAGGTATGTGTCATTGTGGCCTCTGGGATTAACAGTGTGTGTGTTACCATTAGCTGGTCTGTAAGGCTGAGCAGTGGGGCTGTTTTACTCTCAGATCTTCAGGCAATCTCTATTTATTAAAATACAATTGAAATGCCACTACACTCATGCCTATAAAATCCACTGCCAACATCTGTTAGGACTTCCTTCAAATTGTACACCAAATCTGCCCACTTTTCGATACCTCCATAGCCACCCAACAGTTCCAGGCACACAGATTTCGATGGGTGTTTCTGAATGTAAATAGAAAGCTCCAAGTATTTTTGTAATAATTCACATCTTCACCCATTAGATGGCTTCTTGTAAGAGATTTTAAAAGCGTGTAGAAAAACTAGAACCCTTGTGCATTGCCAGTGGGAATATAAAGGTAACACCTACTGTGAAGAACAGAAGTTCCTCAGAAAACCTAAAAATATTTACTACATGATTCAGAAAACCTAAAAAATATTTACTACATGATTCAATCAAAAGGATGGAAAACAAAATCTGTAGACTGCCGGGCAGTGGTGGCGCACGCCTTTAATCCCAGCACTCGGGAGGCAGAGGCAGGCAGATCTCTGTGAGTTGAGACCAGCCTGGTCTACAAGAGCTAGTTCCAGGACAGGCTCCAAAACCACAGAGAAACCCTGTCTCGAAAAACCAAAAAAAAAAAAAAAATCTGTAGACTATCTGAGTACCTATGTATAGAGCAGTATTATTCATAAAGGCCCCAAACTGGAAAAGCTCAAATCTCCATTGATGGATAAATGAATATGTACTCTATGCATACTACAAAATGTTATTAATCATTTAGAACAAAAAATTAAAGCAAAAACTGAAGCTAGAGAGATGTCTCAATGATTTAGATTGTTCAATGGTC